AGAGAGAGAGAGAGAGAGAGAGAGAGATTGATATCGAATGGAAATCACTTTCTTATTTATATTCTTAACAGCGTTCGAATTCAAGTCTGATACTAGTGGCCATTTCGGGGAGGACCCTGTTTGCCTACAAATCGATTGCCTACAGTCTACAGCTTGATTTACAGGTTGACCTATCCAGCAAACGAGAAATTATTAAAAAATATTGAAAATTATTCATTAAAGTGATGTCGAATCAAGAGAGAGAGAGAGAGAGTTTTTGAATTTTTAAAATTTTTTTCTATCCGTAATTCGCTTGAATCAGTAATTATGGATTAGTAATTTACTTGTGGTATCTTACCTAATATTCAACTCAATGAACTAATTCGTTTGAATTTAATGCGCGGTACTGAAGAGTTGTCTAAAGCCTTGTGTCCACGATGCTAGAAATCGGTCCAAGATCTCGGACAGAGAAAAAATTAACAAATCACATTTGAACAATTTGATCACATGACCATTGCGATTGGTCAATTCTTTCTTCATCCGAGTTCTCGGACCGATTTCTAGCATCGTGGACACAAGGCTTAACATGGGAGATCCACCAACTGCTAGTCGGCAAATGATATCGTTGAAAAAACACGCACCGAAGTGATATACATAAGTCGTTCGTTTGTAAAGATCGAAACGTTTGAAAAATTCGTTTATATTATTATTAAATAAAGATTATATCTGCACTGTTAGAAATTGCATGAAATTTTTAAGTTACACAATTTGAACTTAATTTTATGACATTACATTAAATTTAATATATTTATAAGTGAAAAGTACATTTATGTACACGTACATGAAATTTAATGTACTTTTCATGAAAATTTATGAATTTTAATGTACTTTTCACAAAATTTTATAAAAAGTATATTAAATTTCATAAATTTAAAATATACAAATTCATTACATTTAAGTAACTACTGCAATTTAATTTTCAGTTAAATCATTCATTACTTTTAATTTCGTTCATAATCACGATTTACATGTACAGGAAGCTCGTGATTACATTTCTACCAGTGTAATATTAGCGCACGTCATCTTTCTATAGGCTCAGATAGCCTCTCTCATTGCATAATTTATAAAGAAATCTTTAGACAACAAATCAGAAAAGGCAGGGAAAAGTCTCTAACTGTAAATGTTTACACTTACCAAATTGTACAAAATTACTAACTTTTTGTGAAATAATATCATTATAAGTATATAGTATTAGCATTAGAAACATAATAAATATAAACAATTAATAATTTTTTACTTTTGTCAAAGTTAATTATTGTGAAAGAAACGATATGAAACATTGAAATGATTGTCGCTAAGGAATTGTTTCTGTATCGAAAGAAAAACATAATCGCGAGAACCAAAAGAGATCGAAAAGAAACGGAGATGAAACGTAGAAGCGAGACCGAATAGCATTATACTGGAGTATACGACCTTTACCACTTAATATATTGACAGCTTTGCTACTAAAGCCAATCAGGAGATTCAACGCACTAGAATACGCCCCCGATAAAACGATTGGTTGAAACCGAGTCTTAGGACGACGCCTCCATCGAACGTAGCAACGAAAGTGGGGGGAAGCGAACTCCGGGGGTGCTGGAGGTGGCTAGCATCGGGCTTCTCGTCGACTGACTGTGCGAACAGGCATTCCGACGCCATCCATGGTCAACGGTGGTGAGCAGTGAGTAAGGCCACCGTGGCCAAGCGTGTAGTTCTCCGGACACGTTTACAACGTTCTTCTCGTTCAATCGCAGCTTCGCTTAAAATTTGAAACCGGCTCCATGAAAACGCGTCTCATGATTTTTAAAGTGACAACAGAAATAGCCTTTAGTGCGGGCACAACGGTGCGCTACAACGTATGAGGGGACTGTTAGGACTAGGACCCGGAGTGACGTGACGGTGATAACTCTGGTCTCACACCATGTGCTTAACAGATTGAGCAGTGCAGTGACCCACCTCTCAATTGTTCTCCTAGTGATTGTTATCAAACACAACGCTTTGCGAGACGAGAGTCTCAATCACGGCAGCAAAATTGATCTGGACTTGCACCAACGAGCCGCCGGCCACTTTATGAGGTGAGTCCTCCAAGAAGTGGATCGGGCTTATTTGGGTGTATTAAAAAAGCGTGAAAAGTAAATTCTACATTATACATACACGTCTCTTACAAATTGCTTAAAAAGCTTGCCCACAACATCGAAATTTTTTTTAACAGGTCAGTAACAAGTCAAAGATTTCATACAAGGTGAATATCATGCAGATCAGGAGAATAATAAGTGTTAAGAGCAAGAGCAGCGATATCAAAGCGCAAAACCGGCCGGCCTATCTTACGAAACGTCAAGTTTTCCAGTACAACAATCATCAAATCTCAATAATCATTAATACTATACATATGCAATCATTTTCATCGAAGAGATCTTTATGTATCTTATATGTTAATTTATAATTTTGTATTTCTCAAAAATATATTTTCAATTCCAACTTTAATAACAATGACTTGAGCATATTGAGAGAATAAAGTATCTTTCTGAACATCCTAAAAAATAGAGAAGCGTTTATTAATTATAGAAAATATATTATCTTAAAAACAAGCAAAAATTAAAAATTATGTTTAACCAATCAATACAATATGTACTAGGCTCCAACGAATAAAATTCAAACAATCAATATATAAAAAGGCAAAGAAGCCACGCTTGATGGTCGTGCTATACAATATTTATATGTTTATCCTAAAATAGCAATAAAGCAAAAATACATACAGACGTTTCGACCTTTTTACATCAGGTCCTCTTTATTGTGATAAAACTTAACGCAAATTTTACATATCAAATCTTTTTAAGATCGCACTCATATCGAAATTCATATCGAATTTCTTTATCTCTATCGATTTATATTATATTAAGTGAACTATCAATAACTATTGATATAAGCTATGTTGATGGAATAAAAAATTTTTTTAATCCAAGCCACAGAAGGATGTAACATTTAGAGATGTCCAAGCGTAGCAATTTAGACTACAGGTTGATAATACATGGATGTACCTACGTTCTCCACAAGGGATTATAATAATTCAATTTGCGAAGAGTGGGAATTTCGATATGAGTGCGATCATAAGAAGATTTGGTATGTAAAATTTGCATTAAATTTTATCACGTTGAAGAGGACCTGATGTAAAAAGGTCGAAACGTCTGTATGTATTTTTGCTTTATTGCTATTTTAGGATAAACATATAAATATTGTATAGCACGAACATCAAGCGTGGCTTCTTTGCTTTTTTATATATATTGATTGATTTGAATTAAAAATTATATTGTTGGAGCTCTTAAAACGTATTCGTACAATCGAGAAATTTAATTTCTAAAATCAGGAATTATTAAATTAAATCACCAAATTGTCTTTAGAAACTACATGTATTTAGTAGAGTATTTATAAATAAATCATATAAGAATACAAATCTCGCAAATATAAAAAAACAAGTTTAAAGAAACCTAAATTCAAATTATTTATAATGGAACAATATATGCTAAAAACTCCGAATTAATTAAATTTTCGTTACAAATTGTTTCAAATACAACAAGTTACATACTGCACATTTTTAATAGTCACATTAAAATCAAATAAATAGAATTATAATCTGTCATTATTAATAAACATATAATTATTATTTTTAAAGATATGTTTTATAGCGTCAATACTATTAATTTAAAAAGTATCAAATAATATAAAATAAGTAAGTACTAGCATATCGCGGAATAGCACCACTTTGACGTTTTATTGAAAAGACCGGTCTCGCGCTATGATCCATGACTATGTCAATTTTATCACTGTGCTTGTCTTAACGTCTTGTATCTCCAAATATTGGGAGCTTTCTAATAAGCGACACTGTATAACACAGTGATCATTTCATTTTCTTTCAACATTTTGGCGAACAACAAGGATGTAATGATTCATCGTGTCATTTGTGTCTCTTGTTAAGCGGCGTCTGCAATAAGATTTTAAGGCGTAAAACTTGAACTTTAAGCTGTAAGCCGTAACATAACAATACCAAATAAATGTACGTATGTATATATATATATATATATATATATATATGTATGTATGTATCAAATAAATGTACGTATTTAGAAAAAGTTACAAATAACGAAAACAGCATTGAAAAAGTACTGGGAAAATAAAATTGAATATGACACACCTAGAGTAGTTTTTAAGGGGTAAAACATTAAAATTCAGTTTTAATATATTTTCTGATCAAAAATGATATTATTGATTGTTTGATGATAATAAAATGAAATTCTATTAGGCTTTTGTTTTATTATTTACAGTACATTGAGAGAAAAATGTACTAAATTTTAATAAATAATTATTTGAATAATACTAATATAACATTTATTTACGGAAAATAAATATATGTTTATATCTACTTGCCTAGATTAAGATTAAGTTTAAGAGTAAGATTAAATTAAAGTTTTAATCTATGCAAGTAAGATATTTTTTAATTAACGAATTAATTAAAAATCATCATGAAAAATAGAAGATTTCGGTAAGTGACATATAAGATATTTGTCACGATAAATTTGCTTTTAAATTCATAACTCAAAATAATTCGTAACATTTCTATAAGAAACAATTTGTGTTTCTCGATTGTAAGCAGAATCGAACTTTGCAATAACATCGAATTTATTATTTTTCATCACAGTGTGTTGTATTGAAATTTTTAATTATTTACAAATGAAACGCAAAGATTTGAAAAGTAAATAATATTGATTAAAATAGGCAGTAATTTGCTATACACGTCCTCGATGCGTCTTTCGGTGACCCATACCTAAACATTCAATTAGCACTTCCTAATCCCTCTCCCGTCGTTGTCAACAGCCATTACTTCCAGCATCTTTTCGATCTCAGTGAGTTACTCTCTTGCTCTTTATTTCTCTCTCTTTCTCTCTTTCTCTCAGAGAGAAGGGGGAGTATTCTCAAAGAGCACCCCAAATACCACGGAACGATGATGACGGGGTAGTTGTTCCACCCCTTGCAACTTCAACTAACCGACGTATCTATTAATCCGCCCTGAATGACACTCGAGGGTGGCACTCGCTCTCTCGTTGTCCCCTCTCCTATAGGGGGTGATCCTGACCCTACAAAATCGTAACTACTGCCCTTTCTCTCTCTTTTCCTGAGTCCTCCCCCGACCACTGCAGGTTTTTTTAACGTACACTCAAGGATATTCAGTACGATAATTGTGTTAGTTCGAGAAGTTAGAATTTGGAATAAGAAAAAGAGAAAGAAAGAAAATTGAGGAAGGAAGGCAAAGGAGTCGTTTGGAATACCCTTTGCCCCAGGGGTGACGTTTAGGGCGAAGAATGAAAAACTAAAGAGCGCGCAGAACGTGTCGAGATTGGTTAATGATTTTAATACGAAGAAAAAAAAAGATTAATTTGCTTACGAAAACGACTTATTATATACCGCGAGGAAAATCCACTCTCATCTAATTTGATCTCAATATATATAATAGGTGAATCTTAACTGTATCGTTATAAAGTCTCTGTTCTCGCACGAAGATTTTATGATGATAGAGTTGAGATCCACCGATCGTCGATTGACGTAATAGTGCTGTGAAAAAAGAAAGCAATGCCTGTTGATATAGTAATCATAGATGCAAGCCAGCAAAGTAGATAGTCTGCTATCTACTTTGCTGTCAGAGAGACAATACTTGTATAGCATATCTTATGCTAGCGAATTAATGTATCGTAGGATATGTTCATTTATTTTTACTTCTCAACCGACAATACGAAATTTTCGATCACTGTCTATAATTTGGAGCATTGAGGTCTACAACAGATTTTTTTATTGTTTCGGACTATATAAAAATCTGAAAAATTCTTGTGTGCTTGTAAATCTTTAACAAGTTTTTACCATAATAAAAGCCGGATTGCATTTACTTACTTCTTATAAATTTAAATGTAAGAATTCTGAAAAAAAAAACGTATTGATTAAAAATTCATAACCTTTATATATGAATGAACAAAAAAAAATTCCTTTTAGGCTACAATACTTGAGAATATGTACGTCAGAAAAAAAAAACAATAATATGTCCAAAAAGTGATGATTTCAAAAAGTTGAATTATTTGTTTAAAAATAAAAACTTTTATGAATAAAAAATAAAGTTTTTCGCAAAAAAATAATAACATTATTTACAACGATTTAATATTATTAAACTCCTTTTATTTTTATCAAAATGTGTAAAAGAATTTCAAAAGAATATTATATAGCACAATCTGCATAATAGTGTGTACGATGACTTCTTCTTACAGATTTTCCATATAAGCCACGCTTACATAATTTTTCTGTTATCTAACAAATGACAAAATGAACGTCTTTTGTCTTATCTCTCATTTTTCAAGTCTTTGTGGAATTTCTTCTTTAACCATTCGTTACGGTGATCCTCTGCGCTACAGAATGTCTCCACTGAACAAGACGCCGCGTCAAAAATGTACCCGCGGAATTTTAGGGCCTCACCATAAGGCTGTAACTAAATGGTGAAACTTGAGTGATACGTAAGTCAACGCACAATGTTTTGGTCAACCTATAACTACGACTTATGTTCCACGATTCAGTTACAGTCATCTTCGTACAGTCATCTTCGTAGACCCTTAAAAGTTCAGATTACATCTTATACCTGCACAACGCCACTTTGGCTGTATTAGCAGAGAAAACTGATCAGTGATCGCTCTGTAATTCTTTAATATGATTAATTGCAAGGTTGATAAAAAAACATGTTTTAAATGTGTTTTAAACAGTTTAAAATATGCTTAATTGATGTTTTTAATATGTTTTAAATATGTTTTTTATAATACTGTGTTTAGAGCATATTTGAAAGTATTAAAAATATGTTTAAGAAGAAACACAATATGTTTTATTCTTTAAAAAAAGCATTAATCTTTACTAACTCTGATTAATTGGTTTTTACCTTTAGTTCTTCGCTAGGAATCGATCATATCAAAAAATCACTGCTTATTGATCAATTTTCTCTGTTCAATATAGCTAACGTTTTATGGAAGAAAAAAAAGTTTTGCGATATATCGCCCGTCGTAGCAAAAGAGTTAATTTCAAGTATTTTGTGAATCACATCTGATATATTTCCGTAAATGTTAATTTTGCAATAATAGTGAAAAAAAATGTAAAACACTGAACAAATTATTTTAAAAATAAAATCTTCATATATATATTCATTAAACTTAGCGTCAAAGAGATTAGTAAGAGATACAAAAAACCAATTTTTTTATTTGCACAAAATACGCGATCTGCAATATACGTAAAGGTACCAGGCACTTCTATTCATCCTTACAATGAAATAAACAGCTGGACACTGCGTCCTTGACCAAGTTCTTTTAGGAGGCGGTACCGATCCTCGAGGCAATTCCTACCTTAAAAGTCTACATTATCAGTCGTTAAAAAAAGGTTACATAAGCTTTAACATAAATATGTTTTTTATCTATTAATTTATATAATTTGTATTATTTTATAAATTTAATAATATTAATTATATTTTATTATAGATTCTATTAACATAATGAAAATAGCTTCAAAGAAACACAAAATATATTTTTACCTGAATATGGAAATTATACAAATAAATCGTTAATAAAGTTATTATTATTAAAATATTTATAAAAAGAATGTCAATAATATAGTAGTAATAGCAACATTAGTAATAGTAATATTAATGATAATTTTTAGTACATAATTTTTGTTGCAACACATTATTTATAATAATAATTTATGTTATTTCAAAAAAGGTTCGCATCCATCGATATAAAAACATCATCATATATTATCGTCATTTTATATATATGGATTTTTAAAGAAATACTACAAAAATTTGCACTATCAAAAATTTATGCTGTGTTTTATATTAAATACTATTAGAGATGATAATCTCTATAATGAAATTATCACATGTATTAATAATTACAAGAGTTATATGCTTAAATTATTTCAAATCATTTCTATCTTCAAAAATTGAGATGTTTAAAAGAGTGTGTTTAAATATTTAAGTATATTCAAAGACGTTAAGTTTGTTTAATGTTTGGTTGTATTAAAAACGTGTGAATAAGCAAAAAAAATTACGAATATTAAATAAATTGTAACGAATCGGATTAATTTGTCTTCATTGATAAAAAGTGATGAAAACAAATTTCATCATTAAGTTTTATTATAAAAATTTTATCTTCATAACACATACAACACTTGGGTTTTATATAATCAAATAATACACAAACATGGTATTTCTTATTGCAAAACAAAAAAATCAAGAAAATAAAATTACCCAATTCGCTTCGAAATTGAGAACGATCCAATTCGCCATTTATTAGATCAATTTAGCAAACTAGATATCCTAGATAAAAATCATTATAATATGCACAAGTTTTAACATATCTTTATTACAAAATCATAAAATTAAGATTGTGAATTTATATTGATTACAATATTTTTTTTGTAAACTTACGATCTCTGCGTCTGTATCATCAACTGACACTGAATTTATACACGCAATACAAATCTATTATCTATTGTTTCCAACACAGAGGAAACATACGGAAGTAACATGATAAAACAACTCATTTAAAACAAAAATGAAAAAACTAACGACAACTGTCTTGAAACTTATATTAACTTGATTCGCCTCGATTTATTCTATCAGAAAGATCATTTTTGGAAATATTAAAAAGAAATATAAAAGAGAAAAACAGAGAATTAAGCAGCAAAAGAGAGAAAAAAGGAAAATTAATGATAATTTTAATAATTTCTTAATTCGGCGCAGTTTAAATAACTACAAAATATGATATATATATGTATGTACGTACATATATAGTATATATATATATATATAATTCACTTTAAATTATTTAGGCATTAAAAGTTCTAACTTCGACCGTTATAGGCTTGAATTTGCTTACTTAGGCTGCATTCCAAAATTCACTGCCAGTGCTAAAAATCTATAATACACGTAACGTAAACTATAGATTTTCAGCACTGGCAGTAAATTTTGGAACATAGTCGCATAATGTTTAATTTTAATAATTTCTTACTTTTCACTCCGGTATTTTCATCTTCCCAAAGGTCTCACATATCTCAGAGTGATCGAATTAATAGGGGTCCCTAAAGCCGGGAGCACAGAAAAACGTAAGGCCGTAAGGCGTAATCAGTAAGGAAATCGTACCATTGGATTCGCTACTGGCCTTACGGTCTCTACTGTGATTGGCCAATTCACTTACTGCTTGCGTGCTACGGCCTTACGTTCTTGTATGTGTCATGGGCTTAACCGAAAGACGTCTTTAATTACAGAGCCGGCGGCAACATGTGCGACGGCGCCTTCACAGAAACCTTGCGTAGTATGCAAGGGATGACGGGTACGTCGCCACCGGGTAGTGCCGGTGTCGGTCACATGGGGGTCGGCCTCATGGGGGGGAGTAGTCCGCTCGGCTCGGCAGGCAAGAAGGTGCCGGTGGAACACATCAAACGGCCAATGAACGCCTTCATGGTGTGGTCACGACTACAACGACGGAAGATTGCACAAGAGAACCCGAAAATGCACAACAGTGAAATCTCTAAGCGGCTAGGTACGAACAACTGATTTCTTAGTATTTTTATTACAAATAATTCTACACTTTAAAAAACATTGTTCAATTTCTCTGGTTTCTTGGAGAAATTGGACCTTGAAGTTTCTCCGAATGCTTATAAGAGAACTTGTTCTTTAATTGGCCTTCGGCTCCGTGAATGAAGCTATATTGGCCAGTAATAAATCGTCAACTAACTTTTAAGTCTTATTACACGTATATTTTAATCAAATTTGTCTTAATCAGGGGAAACCTAATCGGTGTAAAGCTCTGTGTCAGACCAAAGAGAATCAGTCCTTTTCGGCCAAGCGATCTTTCGAGACTGCTATCTGTGCTTCATATAAGCAGGATTTTTAAGCTACACTCCATCTATGAGTAAGAGTCTCAATTGTGTCTTGGATTAAGAAACATCTGTGTCCACGGTGCTGGAACTTAGTCCGAATTCTCGGACCGAGAAATATGTAGCCAATCAACTTGCCGTTTTTCCGTAAAAACCACATTTTGATTGGCTAGACATTTTGATTGGCTAGACATTTCTAGATCCAAGAATTTAGAGAGAGTTCTAGCATCGACACAGTGCTTAACATACAATTGAGAATTTTATTCATAGATGGAGCGTAGCTTAAATGCAGGAAAAATTTTGCATATGCAGGCGCGGATGGCGGTTTCGAGAGATCGTTCGGCCGAAAAGGACGCGTTTTCTTTGGTTTGAATGTTGCATATATTTTTGGAAAGTAAGGTCAATTTTGATCGAGCATTCACTCGTACTATTTTGTTTTCCTCTGTTATATTGCTTTCATTACTATGCTAGACTTTGTGGTCAGACGGTGAAATGACGAAGGGTACCAACTAAAAGAATACAAATATCAATACGCGAAGCGTAGATGGGACTACCAATTTGTGGATCGAACTCGGGTCCACAGATTGGCAGTCCGCGGATCGAACCACTAGACATTTCTCTTACAAGGGAAAGCTCAAATATGGTCTTCCCCAATTTCAATGAAATTTAGCAGAATCATAGAATACGTTCCTCTGAACATATTGTAATTATATTCTTATTTTGGCGTGGATGGTTAATCGTTTCCGAGATATTTCAACAAATGTATTGAAAAGGTATCGAATATTATATAAAAAACAGATACGGAATAAATGCAAATTAGCCAAGTATATTTCACAAAGCAATACAAATAAGACAGTTTATCTTATGAGTAATTGCATTTATTTTGTATCTATTTTTTCTTAAAAGGAATGTAATATTCGATACCTTTTTTATGCACTTGGCATATAGTTTTTCTTTCTTAAATAGGTTTTTTGTAAAAATTTCATTGCTTTTTGCAAATTTTTGAAAACAATAATATAGAATTTAAATTTTCTAAAAATAAAAAATAATAATAATAATTTATATTTATTGATATATTAGATTAATAATATATAAAAATAAAAAATAAAAATTAACTGCTCTCTCCCTTCCATCCTTTCTTGCTTTTTTTCATCTTTCGTGCTCTTTCGCCTTCTCCTGCTCTCTCTTGCCTACAATTTCTCTCGCTTTTTCGCATTTTCTCCTAGTCTCACTTTTTCTCTTTTATACTCTCGTTCTCCCATAATCTCTCTCCCCTCCTCTCTCTCTCTCTCTCTCTTTCTCTCTCTCTAAGAATTCTTGAGAATTAAAATTGGAATGCTATAACTTCACATGTTCATTAAAATCGCCGTTTTTAAGATGTTGATAATTTAAAATATATTTATATCTCATAATTATAATACACTAAACACAGTACAGTAAATCTCTGTATAATTCAGCTCGTATTATGCGGATTTATATAACACGAGACGTACCTCTCGCGTTTAAACAGAAGTTTAGATACTGTATTTAATATAAAATACGAAATATAAATATATTTTGAATTATTAGAATTTTCTAAAAGTAAAAGAATTCATTTTTTTACAAGGTAAACAGAATTTTTTAGAATACAATATATCATTTTGCAAAAAATTAATTCCAACGAAATACGAGTCCCTAAGTATAAGAACATGTTCATACTTTGACGCAAAAGCAGAAAGCGGAAAAGCGGAAGCCAATCAAAACTCACGCAGGTAATAAGCGGTACATTCCGCTTTTCTGTTTCTATTACCAGCGCGAGTTCTGATTGGCTCCCGCTTTTCCACTAAGGGCGCATTTACACCTTGATGGAAAAATAGGAAGCGGAAAAGCAACAGCCAATCAGAACTTGCGCTGGTAGTCGACAAGAGAGTTCGGCTTTTTGTACTTCTTACTACCAACGCGAGTTCTGATTGGCCACTGTTTTTCCGTTTTCTGCTTTTCAAGATGCAAACACGCCATAAGGTCGGAATCAGACTATACGCATTGAAGAATGAGATTGAAGATTGAAAGATTGATGTTTGACCAATCAGAACAAAAAGATCCAAAATTTCTTTGTCCTCATTGGTGAAATTTCAATCTTTAATCTTTAATCTCAGTCTTCAATGCATAGTCTGATTCCAGCCTAAAGCCTTGTGTCCACGATGCTAGAAATCGGTCCGAGACCTCGGATGAAGAAAGAATTGACCAATCGCAATGGTCATGTGATCAAATTGTTCAAATGTGATTTGTTAATTTTTTCTCTGTCCGAAATCTTGGACCGATTTCTAGCATCGTGGACACAAGGCTTTAAAAGCGAGGTAACCACTTAATATAATCTTGGGAGTCCTCGAAATCATTATAAAATTCATATGAAATCTCTATGTATAATTCGATAATTACATATGCAACCCCTCCACGAGAAATTATTGTATAATATTAAAATTAATTAAATGAAATCGTATATTTTATCAAATTACTTTATATGTAGTGAAAAAAATTATTTGTAATCAAATGAAATCATGTAATCTGCGGGACAATATTTCAGCTAGTGGTTACCCCCTCGGCCCTAAGACATATTTCATTCGCGACTTTTTAGAAAAAAAATCTTTAACGTAACGAGAATTATTCATTGCACAATCAGGACTATCATTCTGTCACGACATATTATTTCTCATCGTTTTCCTTTATGAACGACTTCGTGCACAACACACATCCGCGTGATTTAGCGTCGACGGAGATATTCCGTCTAGTATTTCCGTTAAATACCCCAGTCGACAAAGAACCTTCCGCAACTCCCTCGAACTCCTTTATCCGTCATTTTCTTCCTCGCCTCGCACCGTCTATCCCCCATTTTTCGTTTCCCCGGCGACGTCGAATAAGGGAAGCGTCTCCTTCTCCTCCACCTCCTTCTCCTCTTCCTCCTCCATCTTCTCCTCTTTCTCCTCCTTCTCAGTAAAAATGATGCGCACGCTCGAACCTTCGTTGTACCATCCCCTTTTCTATTTTCCAACCCTCTGCTTTCCCCCTTCCCAAGCCATCCTTATTCTCCCATACTTCTTCCTCCACATTTCCTTTTATGTGTCGACGCGACACTTTCCCGTCGCTCTTTCGCCGCCAAGCATATTTTTGGATGATACACATCCACTTCGTTGCGGCACTCACAGAGTTTGTCCCTTTCCTCCCACTGTGCACTGTTGCGAAATTCCCACGCAAGGCGACAAAAAGCTCCATTCTCGATTCGATGATTGGAATTTAACGGGCAAGCACGTCGCGTTTCACTTTTTTTCTGACACCACAAAGGTATCCGGAAGAATATACCTTATTTTTTACTACTTGTGTGAATACTCTGACTAGCCACAGAAATTCTCGAAAAATAGCGAAGGATATATTTTAATATAATGAAATAAGAACAATGTAGATACTTGGAAGATTTTTCAAGGATATTGAATATTGGATATTGAATATTGAATATTGGACACGAAAGTAATAATTTTTTAAATGCTAAATTATTAAAGCTTTTTCCAATCTGTTGATTTATCGGTTCTTGAGATTGCAAATCTTTAAATGTTTGGATTTTTTGGAAGTCCTGTGACTTCATAAAAGAATGTTAAATTTTTTGGTTTAAATAGCATTTAAAATTAACATCTATTTAATTGTTTTATGCTAAATAATTCCAAAATGAGTGACAGAATTCCAATCAAATGCTCTTCTCGTCAAGATAAATACTTCGCAAGTGATTGAAATAATTTCAGCCCAAAAATGCGATAAAAACAACATCCGATTTTATTACATCAATTAGTAAATGGCGATCCACACGTTATCTTCCAAGTCAGCAATTTACCACGTTTCACGACACCCAGAGGATGTTAGGGATGGATCCTAAAGGGAGTAGTCGTAGCGCAAGAGAGGAAGAGAGAGTGGTTCTTTAAAGTGAGTGCCCTGAAACGCTTAGAGCTAATCTAGTTATTGGACCTCGCTGTAACGTTCCTGTTGTACAAGTTGCTCATCCGAACATTGTCCCCTTTCCCTTTCGTCTTCGAGACTCCTCTGGAGTAAATGGTTCAAGCCTTTCGAGAATAATAGCAATTCTGTTTAAGATACACAAATCAAAATAAAAAGATGGTATAAACGATCAATCAATGGCGCTAAATAAAAAATTGATAAAATTATTTTAAAGAAAGACCTAAGTATAACATAAGTTACTTTTCACAACATACTATTGAAATAAATAACAAAGGCGATTATTGATAAAGATATTAATGATTTTAACGACTATAAGAAATTATTGTAAATTATTAATCCTGATACTTTTATAAGAGAATTTTGAAGCTCTTGCCACAACAACTGCAATAAGATTCTATCTCAGTTTTATCCCAATCCTCCCCTAAACTGCCTCTGATATTGCGCTGTAAAAACGCATGCATGCGATGCAAACACCCTCGAGAAAGAAAAATTCACAAAGAGGGCGAAACGAAAGAGAAGTAGAGTATATAAACACACGAGAGAGAACGGTGAGGTGATGTGGAGAGGGGATGTGGAGAAGAAGAGACTCGGGAGAAGCTTTCATCGTAATGAAGTATTTCTACCGCTTGCCGAAGCCTTCAAGAGGAGGCACTAGCTTCTTTCGAGCGCGTTAAAGAAACGA